TCACGTATTGTCTTAGTCACTGTTCTGTCATTGTGAAGAGACACTGTGACCAAGGCAACTCTTAAAAAAGAAAGCATTTAATTAAGGACTTGCTTACAGTTTTAGAGGGTTAGTTCCTGATCACCATGACAGGAATAGGGAGGCATGGTGGTAGAGCAGTAGCTGAGAGCTTTACATCCTGATCATATTCATTCATACACACACACACACACACACACACACACACACACACACACACACACATCTTGATCAGAGAGACACTGGGCTTTTGGAACTCCAAGCCCCACACCCACGATACATCTCCTCCAAGACCTCATCTCCTAATAATTCTATTCCCTGGCCACTAAGCATTCAAATATATACTTTCAAATAAATTCAAGCCTATGGGGCCATTCTCAATCAAACTGCCAGAATCTGTGTTCTGAATCTCAGTCATATCTTTGTCCTTCCCTTTCTTCTTCAGCTCATGATAAGGCAGGTGAGGCCAAATGCATGTTCCTGGGTACTAGGCAATGTCAAAATCTGTCAGCTCAGTCTAGGAAGAGGACTCAACAGATAAAATGCTTGCCATACAAGTTGAGAAGCAGTGTTTTAGATCCTTGTCCCGGAAACAACATAAAGCCATGGAAGTTCGTGTGCATATGTGATTCCAGGAGGCTCTGTGAGTTGGCAGACCGAGGCAGGGGAACGCTCAGAAGCTTCTGGGCCTGCTAGTGCATATGCAACAATAAATGAGAAACTACCTTAAATAATAAGGTGAAAGGTGTGGACCAGCATCCATATGCAAACAACACACACACACAAACTGCAAACTAGCCCATGGCACACTAACCCACAGCATACTAGCCCATAGCACACTGATGGGGGATGCCCCTCTGCATGCGGTAAATATGTTTTATTACCTTTGTTTAATGGTTTGGCCTATGGCAAGGCTGAATGTAGCTGGGGGAAAACCAAACTGAACGCAGGGATAATAATAGAAACGGGTTAGTTTAAGTTGTGTATCTAACAATAGAAATGCTGCTCTTACAGCTTAAGTTAACCCATTCTGTTTCCACGCTTCCTGGTCACGGGTGCACTGTAGCCGGCTGCCTGTTTCCAC